GTGACGCTCGCGAAATGTCGCTGAGATGCATACCGAGCTTCCTCTGCACGCAATTCAGCGGCCATATTCGTCGCCTCAGAGGACATTCTTTTTAACCTAGCCCTAACTACCAGAGCTTGATCCTTCTTGATAAGCAAGGAGGCCAACTCTGCCTTAGCTAAGGCTATTTCCCCACTATCACGGGATTTCACCGCCCGATCAACTTTCTGCTCTAAAGCCGTTTGCGCCGCTAATCTATCTAGATTGAGCCGACGACTATAATCAGCAGCAAACGTTCTGATTTTGGATTTTAGTTTATCCCACCAGGCATTTCCCACAACCGCTCCCGTCAGTTCCCTCTGTATCATTAGTAAAAGCTGGTCCCGGAAATCTTGCTCACCAAATAATGATGAGTTTAATTTCCAGTAGCCAGCCATCCTAACCTTAGGTTTATCTAAGTTTACACGGACCCGGACAAGCCTATGATCCGTATAAACTATCTCATGGAAACTTGGACACCCTAAGAGCCCTACATCGACTCTCCTAACTAGGACTCGGTCTAGATAACTAGCCGAGCCGCCACTATTAGTCCAAGTCCACACTACCTCCCGAGGGGTGTTTATTCCGGTACTTATCGACAAGATCAAACCTGTCGATAAAGTCCCGAAATGGTTTCACGTCCCGGTTGTTAGTACCCGAATTTGTCCCTATGCGATCTATATCGGGATCAAGGACGGCATTCCAATCACCCACTAAAACTACCCGACGTGATGTCGTCAAAAACTGCTCGATCCGCCGAAACAAGGCAGGCCGCTCAGAATGGACATTGGGCGCATAAACCCCAATGAGACGCAGAGCCTTATCCTTTATGGTAACGTCCAGCACGCAAAGCCTGCCCGCCGGATCCACGAAGACAAGAACACACGTAGCCTTCAATGACTTGCTCACCAACCAAGAGACACCCCTCGAGCGTCCATCAAAACATGCTGAATAGAGGGAAAACCCCCTAGACAGAATGTTCTCATAGTCACGAGAAGAAAAACGGGTCTCTTGTACACAACAGATATTCACCCCGAGACGCTGAAGATCGCGAGAGAGCCTCGCCCTGCGAGACTCGGACCTCAGGCCTCGGGCATTCACACTTGCTAACCAGAGAGCCATGATGGAACCGATTAGGGTTGCTCTCCTGCATTGAACATGGCCGGGGTCAGGACACCGACGGCCTCTCCCATTGAGCCTGTACCCATCTCACTAACGATGGTGCCATCAGGAGACAGGCCGCCAATGTCCAAGGGGAACGTTAGCTTTAAAGCTCTATACAGGGAGGGGTGAACGAAAATCGGGAACCTCCCTGAACAAAATTGTTGTAATTTTTTGACGTTTTCGTCGTCGAAACACGACATCGGTGGAAACATGGTGAAGGTTTCATTTGCATTGGCCATCATGGCCCATATTTGCTGACCAGCTACCCCCGATCTCACCACAGTGAGAACCCTTCTTATGTTCGGGAAATTCGGGGGTTCTCCACATCTAGATTGTTCAATTTCCGGAAATTTAAAAGAGTTTTTAAATCTTTTAATTTTTTGGCATGTAGTAATGCCTTCTCTTCTGTTTCCTTGGAAATTCGGCACACATCTTCCCCTGTATTGTATAATGGTCTAGATTTTATTTTATTTTCTGTGGTGGCTTTGAAGCATCCGAAGATGGACTTCTTTTGGCGCTTTTGCTGTTCGTGTTTTGATGGTGAGGTTTTGGGGGTCTTCATGGGAGAATGTTTAGGTGATGTTTTTTTTGCAGGAGATTTTGTCGCAGGTCCCTTCTTTAGTGTGGTCATTGTTGAATTTACTTCCCTTATAGGTTTAGTGATAGGGGGAGGGACCATGGAATGATGTTTAGTGACAGGGGAAGATGGTGCCGACAAAGAGGTGCCAGATTTCTTCTCCGCGTCCTGTCGTTTGGATTTAAGATCTTCCTTTAGTTTTAATAGTTTTTCCTTCTTCTCGTAGGATGGTTCATACTGAATTAACTTTTGTCGGAGTTTATCCGAGTAGCTGGCCGAAGAGTCGCCCTTTGCACTGGTAGAGGGAGTGGGGTTGTCTGTGCCTTTTCCTGGTTTTGTTGTGGAACGAGGTTCTGCTGCCCAGATCTTCCCTTTAGTCCTACCAACGACCTGCCATTCCCCCTCTCCCTTCTCCCTATCCGCACTAGCGTCGGGCAAAGGCTCTTCGGGGAATGGGGGCTGAGATTTGGACCCAACCGGGGGATTTTCCTCACCAGTCCCGGTCGCTGGCATGCCCACTACAGGCGGGACGGATGGAACAGACTCGGCCAAAGGGGGATTTGGTTGGACGGGAGCCAGAACATCAGAGGCCTTCATCTCTGTGCAGGAAGAGGAAAGGTGACCAGTCTTTCCACACTTCCAGCATGCCGGTTTTCGACCCGTCACAATTATCGGCATCTTCTGGCTCTTTACATCCAGACAGTTGGGGATGGTGCAGAAGGCATCCTGATCGATCATGATCTCGAAGCTCCACCCCCCGGTCAGATCATCAGAGGAAGCACTGAGTATTTGGCCAAACTGGCCCAGATAAGCAGCCAAGTGCTCGCCGACAATCTGAGGAGGAACCTCATATACTGAAACCTTGGTCCTCCGCCTGCCTTCGTACTCTGTTCTCGGAATCAGGTCTTTGGTGATAAGATCGCGAGTCACAGTCGGCAGGCGTGGGTAACAGTACGTCCCACATAAAATATCCTTTCCCTTTCACAACTCTCTGAGCTTTAATGCCCAGAGAATATAATGTTTTAATAACAGTGTCTTTAGTGGAGCGACAAATCTTGCGCGAACGCTTGTCGACCACAAAGACTGACACAATTCTTTTTTCAACCTTTCGTAATTCCTCGGGATTTGGCAAGAGCCCATCTGCTGTCACCAGATGTGCGTAGCTCTTGGCCCTCTCGAGGAACTCCATAATGTTGATTTTACATTTCGGTGGGGACTTCCAGCATGAGGGCGTCTCTCCGGCCGCTATGTTTCCGTCCTGAGATGTCTGACTGGTTGCTTCTTGGCTACTTTCGGCCACCTTATTCTTGTCCTGTTGATTATTTGAAATATCAGCATTTTGGCCGCTTTCGGCCACCATAATCTCGTCTGGGACACTTGAAACAATGCCACTATTTTGGCCATTTGAGGCCACCATACTTTTTTCTGGACTCTTATTATTATCCTCACAATTAGAGGACACCATACATTTTTCTTCAACTACAGGGCTTTCTTCTAAATTTTTTATATATATTTTTTTTGGAACCAAACAGGTTCTTTTTCACAGTTCTCCTGGGAGCCATTTTAAAAAAAACAAAAAAACAACACTTTTTTTTTTTTTTTTCCTTCACATAAAAAGCAACAAATAAAAGTATAAATTAAACGAAAGAAAAATAAATCACAATAACAAAAAGAATTTTAACAAGACAAAACAGTTAAAGACGCAAAAATAAGTAACAGAAACACGTACGCTAAAACGACAAAAATACGTTCAAAATAAAAACAGCTAACAATTACAAAAACGAGTACGAAAATGAAAATCACATTTTAAAACGGAAAATAAACAAAAGGTATCTTTTTTTCAACAAAAAAAAATCTGAAACAAAAAATGCCAAACGACTTCAAAAATACAATATGGCTGCCACTAGAAAAAACTAGTCAGCCCAAACACTTAAACGAAAAAATACGTAAACTAAAATAAAGAAGAACTAACGAATAGAAAAATAAATGCGGTAAATAAATACAAAAATTTACAATAAACACAGAAAAGACTTAAATAAAGGAATACAGAATAAATAACAGTTATTTACAACGAGAAAGAAACACTGAAAACACGTAGAAATAAAAATGTAAACAAAGAAAAAACGAAGTCTTACGAGGGACAAAATAAACAATGAAAAAATAAAGTTTGGTGTGGGGAAGTTACTGAAAATTAAAAGGAAAAAAAATTAAAACTCAAAAATACGTATTAAAAAAAGGGAAATTAATAATAAAGAAAACAACAAGGGATAAAGTATAAAAAATAGAGGGGAGGGAAAAGAAAGAAAAAATCAAATCAAACTTTTGGCAAAAAAAAAGTCAATAAACTGAACGTAAAATAAAATAAAAAGAACTTAACGTGGACAAAGGGTTGAAATCAAAAAACTGTTCGTAAAAAACTCGCAAATGCGTCTGGCGCCAGGCACTGGTCGTACACCGTCGAAAAAAGAACTCTCCTCAAAGAGGTACCAGAGAGGAAAGTTCATCAGAATAATTACCATGAAAGTATTTATAGAAAAGGCAGAGGGAAGTTATGTTACAGTAGTGAGAAAGTGACTGAAGCCAAGATGCCAGGTCAGAACAATAACATTTCAGATTCTTTGCGTTTTAGCAAGAATCTCTAAATAGCACAAGCACCAGACCAGATTTTGCAGCGATATTAACTGCATGGTCAAATTGGAGACTTATAAATGTGTAAGATTTTGTTAAGAATTTGATTTGCGAGAATGGCGAGAGTAAATCTACAAATATTAAGCAATTTTTTCAAAAAGTAATCTGTCCTGGGTATGAGAATAAACTACATTCATGCCCTGGGTAAGACGATAAACTACATTCGTGCCGTGGGTAAGACGATAAACTATGTCCAACAACAAGGCCTCTGATCAGGAGGTTTTGAGTATGGAACCACCTCTTGATTGTTAGTGTTACCAGGTCCACCCTGACCCAGGATGGTAGCACCTGTTAGGATCCAAACTATGGGGAAATAGTGAACCCTCCAAACTGGGGATTAAACAATATGAAAGTGTAAAAATAGGTTTTAATAACAGCAATAAATTTTTCTAGGAAAAATTATTACCAGCAATACAATTCTGAAGAAAATAAATATTACCAGTATTGCATTTTTGAAGAAAAAAAGTATTACCAGTAATACAAATCTTGTCGGTATTAAATAACCCATTGAGGTTGATATGTCGTAAAACAAACCAAACCAAATCAAATGTGATCATGAACAGACTGCGATTAGATAGATAGATAGATAGATAGATAGATAGATAGATATGAACAGACTGCAGATAGATAGATAGATAGATAGATAGATAGATATGAACAGACTGCAGATAGATAGATAGATAGATAGATAGATAGATATGAACAGACTGCAGATAGATAGATAGATAGATAGATAAATAGATAGATAGATAGATAGATAGATATGAACAGACTGCAGATAGATAGATAGATAGATATGAACAGACTGCAGATAGATAGATAGATAGATAGATAGATATGAACAGACTGCAGATAGATAGATAGATATGAACAGACTGCAGATAGATAGATAGATATGAACAGACTGCAGATAGATAGATAGATATGAACAGACTGCAGATAGATAGATAGATAGATATGAACAGACTGCAGATAGATAGATAGATAGATATGAACAGACTGCAGATAGATATATAGATATGAACAGACTGCAGATAGATAGATAGATAGATAGATAGATAGATAGATGAACAGACTGCAGATAGATAGATATGAACAGACTGCAGATAGATAGATAGATAGATATGAACAGACTCCTATTAGATAGATATGAACAGACTCCTATTAGATAGATATGAACAGACTCCTATTAGATAGATATTGTCGGTATTAAATAACCCATTGAGCTTGATATGTCGTAAAACAAACCAAACCAAATCAAACGTGATCATGAACAGACTGCAATTAGATAGATATATAGATATGAACAGACTGCAATTAGATAGATATATAGATATGAACAGACTGCAATTAGATAGATATATAGATATGAACAGACTGCAATTAGATAGATATATAAATATGAACAGACTGCAATTAGATAGATATATAAATATGAACAGACTGCAATTAGATAGATATATAAATATGAACAGACTGCAATTAGATAGATAGATAGATACGAACAGACTGCCATTAGATAGATAGATACGAACAGACTGCCATTAGTTAGATAGATACGAACAGACTGCCATTAGATAGATAGATAGATATGAACAGACTGCCATTAGATAGATAGATAGATATGAACAGACTGCCATTAGATAGATAGATAGATAGATAGATATGAACAGACTGCCATTATATAGATAGATAGATAGATAGATATGAACAGACTGCCATTATATAGATAGATATGAACAGACTGCCATTAGATAGATAGATATGAACAGACTGCCATTAGATAGATAGATAGATAGATAGATATGAACAGACTGCCATTAGATAGATAGATAAAATATTATCAGTAATGCATTTTTGAAAAAAAAAGTATTACCAGCAATACATTTTTAGAAAAAATATAACCAGCAATAAAAATCTTGTCGGTATTAAATAACCCATTTAGATTGATATGCTGTAAACCAAAACAAACCAAACCAAAGCAAACCAATCAAAAAGTAATTCAGACTATTCTAAATAACTAAAGGAAACAGTGAACAAAACACTATTTCAATTAAATTCTTTCAGAGGAAAAAAGTAAAATTCTGTTCGTACAGAATGAAGAGTTAAAATTCACAAGATTAGCAAAGGGTACAAGTGTGAAAATACAAAAATTCTTAAATAATCCCAGAGATCTCAACAGGAGTTAACCACTGCCAATAAGGGTTTACTGGGGTGTGGTTATTGCCCCTGTGCTGTAAGTGAAGCTATGTTTCTTTTCATTGCACTAAAGAGGTTGGGTTGATGTAATACTAGTGCCAGCATGACAGTAGTCATGGGGACTAGGCATAAACCAGTTTCTGCCCTTGGCCCATATGTATAAATATCCATATAGTACTCCCCATGTTAATACGACCTTGTGACACATTCAGCCTTCGTGGGGAGGCCGGATAAATATACTTGGAGATCAACAAGATCAAGAATCAAAATACAATGTGAGATAATCCTTGAATGGTTGGTGGAAAGCTTGAATAACCGTACTGTGGTATGTTCACACTATAACTGTTCAACAGCATGAGTATCTTTATCTTTGTTGTTTTTAGCACAGTTTTTGACTGGTGTCTCAAAAAGACAAATTAAAAGAGTTGATAAAAACAATGAATACAAGAATGCTCGTCGAAAAGGTGCAGGTAGAATAATGGGTACTAACACAAAGCAAATTTCAAATTCAGGCCTAACCTGTTGTGTTCACTTTCACATAAATGCCCTTGGGAAAGGCATGAATCCATCTCTTCCCTCCCTGATTATTAATTTAGTAGCAGCATAGCTTTAGGTGGCAGTCAGTCTGAATTTTAAACTATTGAGAAGGCAACGGGAAACCACTTCAGTGTCTTTCCCCAAAAGTTATGGCAATTCACAGATAATAAAGAAAAGGAATCTGTGAAGAAGGCAACGGGAAACCACTCCACTATCTTTCCCAAGAAGTCATGGCAATTCACAGATAATAAAGAAAAGCATTCTTTGGAGAAGGCAATTGGACACTACTCCACTATCTTTCCCAAGAAGTCATGGCAATTCACAGATAATAAAGAAAAGGAATCTGTGAAGAAGGCAACGGGAAACCACTCCACTATCTTTCCCAAGAAGTCATGGCAATTCACAGATAATAAAGAAAAGCATTCTTTGAGAAGGAGAAGGAAATGGCAATTCACAGATAATAAAGAAAAGGAATCTGTGAAGAAGGCAAACGGAAACCACTCCACTATCTTTCCCAAGAAGTCATGGCAATTCACAGATAATAAAGAAAAGGAATCTGTGGAGAAGGCAACAGGAAACCACTCCACTATCTTTCTCAAAGAAGGCATAGCAATTCACGGAAAATAATGAAAAGGAATCTGTGGAGAGCTATCATTGTCTATGTTCTGAAAGGACATGACATTAATAAACAAATAAATAAAATGGAAGTCAGGTGGGTCTATAGGTATTCAACCAAGAAAGCTGTCACAAAAAGCAACAATAAGATGGAAAATATTACTTACCTTATATGTAAATCATAAATGCCTGAAGAGGTAGGAAATGAAATTCTGGAAGAATCTTTGCTGCTTCAATCTATAAATAAATGTGATAAGAGTGGAAAAATTTTTGAGATGTCTTCAAGAACGCATCATCTGGCGGTGGAGTGGGGGTCGTCTCTTTGTATGAAAACCATTTTTTCTAGAGTCAGATGATTCAAATTCACTTAAGATTGTTTAACCAAACTGAATGGTAATGAAGTTCACAAGAGTTGATCGTCATTATTTGATAATGGGAATGACTAAACTTAGATAAAATGAAGTATTCAACTGCATCAGATAAAGAAAAACCTTATTATAATTCTACTTGTCCTTCCTTTAGTGCTTTAGTTAGCACAACCATTATGCCCTGCCAATGCCTCATACATAATGGACTATTCCATTTTGGGCATGTAGAAAGACAGAAAAGACATATCAGAGACCAATTTGGTTTCAGTAAGAAGAAAGAAAGAATAGAAAGTGTTTAACGTCCATTTCGATGAAATGGTAAAAGTTGAACAATTTCAAATGTTTTCATTTGTACCCACTTCTTAAAATAACAATCGGCATTCATATTTATAATAGGGGAATTTATACAGATATTTTACTGTCCTAGAACTCGCCATAAGCTTATCCAATCATTAACTTAAAAATTAAGATTCATGAGTTAAAATAGGAAAACTGAAAAATGTGGTATTTCTATACCTATATTAGACAAAATGTGAAGTAGAGAAGTTAAAAAACAGGCTGTTAATTCAAAAAGGAAGTAGACTTTAAAAAAAAATCCCCCAAAAAATAAACTGAAAATAAATGTGAAACTGAAAATATTTGCAATGATAAGAAGTTAAAATTATAAATGATTCCTTGAATAATTAAATAAAATATAGTGTTACAAAGATATCAGGTGGCTGATTTTGTTTAGCGGCATATCAACACCTCAATGAGTTATTTAATTTTTAGAACTCTGCATTGTTTATAAATATGACTTTCTCTTTTACTGTATATATGGAATCCTCATAAAATATAATGTTTTATATGTTAGTTCTATATATTTGAAATTGCAGTAGCCTGGCTCTCAATTTTAGTCAAGATTGTTTTAGGTGTTGCCATAGAAGGATCTGACAACAAGAAATTCAAATTTAACTTTGGCAGAACTAACATTTTGCTTGGTGAAAATAGTCACCTACAGAGTTCTAAAGGCTAATGTTGAAATCTAAATATTTTGTACATAATTTTATACTTTCAGAGTAAAAGGTATGTTTTTTAAAAATCTGTAGATCATACTGGTCATTTTACAATAAAAAAGTATTGTTGATTTTTGTTTCAGGTTCACTATTTGCCCATAGCTGGGACCCTAACAGGTACTACCACCCCAACAAAAATATTAACATTGGTCAGTAAGAAAAGATAAGACATTTGAATTTCAACTTTTTTGTGAGAGTCAACCACAATGGGATAGATTTATTTATTTTATAGCTTATCAACACTTTGCGACTTATTTAAAACTGAAACATTTTTGAATAGTAGGTCACTGAAGGTAGTTAATGGCCAATCCTCTAAGTCCCAAGTGATCAACACGGGTGTCTCTAAGGTTCACTTCTCGGTCCAAACCTCTTCCTACTTTACATAAATGATCTGTCTAAAAGTATACTCCAATCATTTGTGAATATCTATGCTGATGATACAGTGGTATATAGGTGCACCACCTAAACCCTAGATCAGGAGTCAGCAACCTACAGAACGTGTGGCATGCCAAGCAATTTCCAATAGCACACAGCTGCAAATAACATCATGAAGTCCGAACCAATAACTACTACAACACAAAGAAGATATTTGGCTGTTTTAATTTTAATATACAGTGTAACCCGGATATAAGAGAGTTGTCGGGACCAGAGAAGAAGTCTCTTATATCCGGGTTTCTCTTATATCCGGGTTTCTCTTATATCCGGGTTTGGTCTATTTTGTTTAGGTAAGTATGGGAACACTTTGGGACCAGAGAAAATCTCTCTTATATCCGGGTTACACTGTATACTAAAGTTACAAAGTATATATATTCTATATTACTATATTAAATATATTGTTTGGTTTGTTTTACAGCATATCAGCCTCAATGGGTCATTTAATGCCAACAAGATTTTTTTTGTTGATAATATTTATTTTCTTCAAAAATGTATTGCTTGTAATAATTTATCCTTCAAAAAAATTTATTACTGTTATTAAAATCTATTTTTACACTTTCATAGTGCTTTAACCCCAGTTTAGGGGTTAACTATTTGCCTATAGTTGGGCCCCTAACAGGTGCTACCACCCTGAGTCAGGGTGGACCTGGGAACACCAACAATTAAGAGGTGGTTCCACGCTCCTCAAAACCTCCTGATTAAAGGCCTTGCTGTTGGTCGTAGTTTATCATCTTACCCAGGACATAGATGTTGTTTATCAGGACACAAAATATATTGTAGAACAGGTATATGGACCTTGACTTGTATAAAAAAATACATATGCTGTTGGCACACTGAATGATTTTAAAACCCTAAGTCAGCACATAGCAAAAGGTTGCCGACCCCTGCCCTAGATGACTGGAGCTTGGCAGCTGATCTTGCTGCTGAACTAGCTTTAACAGCTCAGTGGAGGAAAAAACTAGCTGGTCACGTTCAATGCCTAAAAATTCAACTAGCAACATTACATCATCGCCTTGAGCATCGATTGGAACTGAAACTCACCCCAGACCTCAAGTTAACTCATATATATGATCCATCAACATGCTGAAAATAATTTTCAGTTCCCTGTACTGGCCTAGCAAGAAACAGACTCCTCCTGTTATCTTCTACTTTTACAAAAGCCAAAACAGACTGAGAATGAAATATTGCTGCCATATATGGGCAGGAGCTGCTCAGTCACTTTCCATTCTTGATAGAGTCCAAAAGTGTCTCTGCGTACTTGTACATCTTCCACCCCCTTTCTCAAAGACAAGGTTTTGCAAAAATGCAAGCCTCTCTGTTCTATTGCTACTTCCTTGGAAAGTGTTCAGACTTAGTTTCACCAGTCCTAACCTTCATGGCTAGAATCTGCATTCTACAGACAATATAGTGAACCCCTCTCATTCTCTTCATATTCATTTAGTGAGATACAAGTTCCACTTGAGCAACTTCTTCCCACAAACAACTGCCTTGTGGAATCGACTCTCGATCACTACAAACTTAACAGATTATCTTCCACATGTATTTGCATAAGTTGTGCCTCTTACTCTGTAACCCTCTACCTTGAGTAACTCCCGAGCCTTGTACAGAATGCCAAGATTTTATTTTTTGCATTTGAATTAATTATATTAACAATTTGGCGGATAAATATAAATTATATAACAATGATTTTTCCAAATACATGTTTCAGCCTCGAGAAGGACTTCATCAGATTAAAAAAGTAATGGTTTAGTAAAGTTGATAGAATTATGAGAGGGAGATAGAAACTTTCTTCTTAAACATAAATTGTAGGACTTTTTCAAGTATAAATCTTACAGAAATAAGAATTCACGGTGGTCATTCTCCTAGGCTGGTTGAAACTAGTCGAGGAACCTAATTGAAATAATAAAACAAAAAATATTAATATACAACAACCCAGTGTGTCTGAAAATTTTAATTCTTAATATTCAAAAATCAAAACAGATCTCATGGCCATGAATATTAATCATCTTTGGTAAAATTCGGGACGATTTTTCCATATGTTCATTGCAGATTTGTTTTTTTACTGAATGAAATAACAATGAAAATCTTCATTCTTCAGGGAATTTTTTTCATATGACTGTAGAAAAGAAATTGTACGAACACAAATTAAAGTACCACACGACATATCGAAAGTAGAGACTGAAACCCCTTCTATAATATTTCCCCAAAATTTTATTTTATTAGAAAACTTTGAGGAAATATTTTAAAAAATAACCTTATCACCATACAATTCATTCATTCTCGGAAAAAAAAAAAATTTCGTTCGAATAATTCCCCGAATTTTTGGCAAGTATTTTGATAAAAGTT